AATTTGTGAAACAAGGAAGGTTGGACCAAATTCAGCAGTGGGAACAACCTCATTTGATGTATTAGTTTTAAGGTTAAAAAAAAGAAAGAAAGAAAGAAAAGGTTGAATAAATGAATCTCCATTGTCCATTTCCTCCAAAACTACATTCCAGGATTGTCAGTATGGGAAAAGTGAGAGTACAGGTGAGGATGAAAAGGGGCCAAACTGAGCTACAATCAAGCTGCTTGAAAAAAACATGTCATGATATCTGCTGCTTTGGAAAAAGTGTTTCTGTGCATTTCTCCTTTTGTTTGACTAATTAACAAGCAAAATTGAGACTGCATAAAATTACAGCCAACAAAAACTGGTGCTTAACAAAAGAGATGTTGACAGTTTCTGGACAGCCTGGTACTTAATAATTACATCTGTCACAGAGACTATACATTGTGCAGTGCAGCAGGAAGTAGTGAAGGGAAAACAACTTAACAGCAAAAACGGTACTCAAGCATGAAATCTGTGACCCATCTACAACAGAGCTGTCAATGGTAAGAAAAAAACAGCAGCACGGCACCTTCACAAACATTCTGGTTGATGTTTTCTCCAATATGAGAGCAAGAAAGTGTTCTACAGAACCACTGAACAGCAGGTTAAGTAGGTGAAAATCAACTGTCAAATACCAAGGCAGTACAAATGGAACGTAGTTAATATTGTACTGACATATCTTATTTACTAATGCTAACCATTTCTCTTGGACTGCCTTGCAAACAGAAATTCCACTCAAACTGGTGACACGCCGAACGCCGACTGTCCCAGCGGTGGAAGCTGTCGCGCTCTCTCCTTATTGTTTCCTTTGTTCTTTCTTTGGGTTTCTAGTGCAGGGCTCCAGACAGCTGCTGTTACAGTGTAAAATGATAATATCTACCTTTTCCCCTACTTCCTTTTCCCTTTTAAATCATCATCACATATTGGTGTGTCAGATAGAGAGTGATTAGAGCGAGGAGCTAATGTACGGCTCTGTCATTATAATAATAACAGGGACCAGGGACAGTTCTGTTAGGAATGTCACGTGTCAGCTCCCTAAGTAAGCAAGGTTTCAATTCATTTTTGAAAAGAACGATCATTCAGACCCTATTGAGCCACCACAATTCACAGAGGACAACTCAGTGAAAGGAATCAACCGGTGATCTTATGTTGAAAAAGTAAGCCTCCTGTTTCCGACAGGACTGACGCTCACACGGTTTAGGAGACTGGTGGACTGCAGAGGTGCATACGGTACAGAATATATCGCTATAGCCAGACGTCCGCAGAGAAAACTACATGAAAGCACAATAACGGGACCAGATGCACTGGGTGGAATTACATCACCGCTTTAAAGCAGTGTGCAAACTACACCATAGTTTGAGCAGGATTTTTATTTAATGTTCCATTTTTAAAAACCACAGAAACAATATGAAGCTTGAAGCTTGATTAGGCTTTTAAGTTATCATTTGTCCTGCACAGCATTGTTTTGCATTGTCAATACGTTGTGAATGTTGCAGTTCAAAGGCTTTTACGCCATCACTCAGTTAACATGATGGTGAGGTTCTGCTGGTAGCCTGTGGTGTCCTGCCTACCAAGAGTGATGGGCCAGGGCTGCACAGTGCAACCTATATGTCACAAAACAAGTTTTCTGTGCAATAAACTAATTTACAAATGAGTTGTGCAGACCTGTTCCTCTCTATCTACATCAATAAATTGAAAATATTCAACAGCAAAATACAGTAAAAAGCGTTGTGCAGCAGTATTGAAGTTCTGGAGGAGAGAGAAGAATCCCTACTTCTCCCAGAGGTGGAGACGACATAAACTCACATCTCCTTAGAGAAACATGTTCCTTAAACACAGTGGGGCCCTTCGTCATTAATGAAGAACTGAATTTGTCATGTTTCCTCCAAGTTGTCTAACTTCACAGATACTTAAAGCTGTACTTCTGTCTCTTTAAAACAGTTTGTTCTGTTTCTTACATCAAGTTCTCCCTCTCACATATAAAAAATGTCTGATTTGTCATGTTTCCTCTGGTTTGTCGCCTTTCATGGACACAGTCATGTTGAAATGTTGGTTTGTTTGCACAGCGAAAGGCTCTGAATTTATTAGTGTGCTCTGACCCAAGTGTTTTGTTCACTGAAAACTTCAGTAAGTACATCAGTCTAATGTTAATATACAGCAGACAGGAACTGTGATGAACTGTAAAGGGTGTAGTCTTAGTCAGAGCCTTCATCTGAGCCTTGACTTAGTTGTGTTGTTATAGGTTTAGACTGCTGGAGGATTCCCATGATGCACTAGGCTCTTCTCCTCCACTCTCCTCTCTTTTTCTTCCATACAGTTATAACCACCATTACATGTCACTAACTCTGTTTCCCCCCAAAGACCTGTGCTGGTTCTCTCTGCGGATGTCTCTTGATCTGGAGCAACACATCTCTGATCTACACTCACTGGCCACACCAATCTCCAAAATGTTCACTGTTGGTCTGTTCCCCATCCTCTATCCTGCTATCCCTCCTCATCCCCACTTTCACCCCAACCCCGGTCAAGGCAGATGGCCGCCTTCCCTGAGCCTGGTTCTATCTGGGTTTTTTCCTCCCCATTAAAGGGTTTGTTTTGGGGTTTTTTTTGGGTGGGTTTCTTCCCACTGTTGCTGACCAAAGCCAAATTCGCTGGGTTCTCTGTTCTTTGTTTAAAATTCGTAAGGTCTTCACCTTACTATGTAAAGTGCTCTGAAATGACATATGTTGTGAAATGGCACAATGCAAATAAAACTGAATTGAATTGAACTCAGCCAGGAAAGGTTCCAGCACCCCTACGACCCTCTACAGGATAAATCAGTATGTAGATGATGGATGGATGGATGAATGAATGGATGGATGACTACATGGATGTATGACTGGATGGGTGGATGGATGGATGGATGGATGGATGGATGGATGGATGGATGGGCGGACAGAACTGTGATATACTAATTTTACTGTGCGATGTGTTACATAAAGGTATTCAGCCTATCAGACTAAAAAAATGTTACGATCAACCACAGAACATGTATTCTGTAATCCCAAAAAACCTTAAATTAGAAAAATAAAATCAGAATCTCTTCAATTCCATAAAAATGTCAAGTTTTTACATAATGTTTCTGTGAAAAGTTCCCAAATCAGATGATCTCCGTTTCACTAACTTGTGATTCCAAGGGAGCACCTGTGTTGAATGACATTTCTAAGCCTGTGTCAATAGCTTCAGATAGTTTACCACAATAAATGTCTCTCATACAAACCTAGTATGTGATGTGTGTTCATGTAGCCGGAGGAAAAGAAAGCAACATCTACCCTTTTAATTTATACCAAATGCAGAAATCTTACTGATCAATTCGATGAATGGGGAGTTGAAGTAAGTCCTCTAGTTTATGGTCATTGAACTCTGGTCGGGCTTCCTGTAGTTTCTTGAAGCGTCTGAAGGCCTTGTTTTTCTTCAGCTGGATCTAAGAGAAGACAAAAGACATCAAGGTTATTCTCAAAACCATACAGACACATTTATAAGACAATGCAAAGCTCGAATTTAAATTTCTGACGTGCAGAAAGGATTTCCCCTTTTTATTGCTGGCTGGATACCACCGCAACGACTGAATATTCGAGTCCAGCCCTACTACACACATACCCCTTTTCCTTCAAGAAGAACCAGGTGCTAGTTCCATGCTGGTGCTAGGGTCACTGCTTAGTTGGTTCAAATCTGGAACCTCCAAAGAACCGATTGCTTTTCCATCAGCAAGGAGCCAAGTTAAAGCCGTGCCACGCGTCACTGCATATGTAGCTGTCTCAGCGTAAATACCGCAGTACAATGAAGTTATAAAAGTACTGTTCTCCACCACTGTGGTGCTACTGGTGGGACACAACTGTATTCCAATCCATCTGCGAACAGACCAACGGCATCCTGGCAAAAAACGACACAAATCACCAATTGTGTGGCCCATTGATCGGTCTCGTTGATCACGATAACCCCACCCTCAGCCCCTGACGTACTCAGTGCTTAGCTCTGGCCCAGCAAAGAGTTGGTGATGGCTAAGCACCAGTTTTGAGAGCCTGGGGCCCGTGCTTAGGTGGTGGAAACACAAAGAACTGGTGCTAAGTCAAGCTCTGGCTCCAAACTAGCACTGGAAACTGCTCAATGGAAAAGGGGTGATAGAAGTTAAATTGCACTGCAGTTCTATTACAACAGCAGCAGTTAACATAGTCAACGCTACTTTTTTTTTTTTTTAGCCCATCTCATTAGGGGCTGTGACCCACAAACTGGGAGAGTGGCCACAGCAGATTCCAGGAACAACATTTGTGGTCTCTGTGCAAAAGACTGCAGCACTTGGGGCAGTAAAGATACTGTGAAGAACCCTAAAACCAACAGGCCTCTGGTACAGGACCTGAGTTTGAGGACGACACACACACCACCTGCACCCAAAAGTAATAAAAAAGTTTTGAAAAAAAAGGAATTTTTCAAAATCCAGTATCGGTCAGGCTCTACTAAAAAACACCAACGCACAGTGGAAACTACACTGTCTTTCAGGAATTATAAAAGAGTAGCATAAAGCCAACCCCAATGTTCGGTTCAGAGGTAGTCCTGATGCTACGAACATAGTAACAGGTTGTTGTTAGTTGTTCTTTAGAAGAAAATAACTAATGTTGGCATGGTCTTTGGCTGCTATAACTGCAGACTTTTAACATACACATAAAACTTTATATTACACATTAAAGGAATAGGAAAAATGAAAAAAGCACAACATGGGCTCTCTAGCAATAACACTGAAGTTTCATCCAACTGTTACATGCTGTAGCTACATCATGCCTCCTATGACATTGCATGAGGGTAGTAGTACTTTACCTTCCTTGTTTTCAAAATGCATTTTCCAGATGCAATGCTAATTTGGTTTTAAAACATAATTAGACCAATGTGGGTCTTAGATTGCTCTTATTAAGGCACTGAGTCTGCTGTGTCACTACAACATGCTTCCCTGTTAAGTCAATTTGCAGGGGTACCAATATACACTTTCAGGGCTTTGTCCACAGTCAGTGCAATTAGTCAACATTCTGCAGACAGATCCCTACTTTTAATTAAGACAGTATTATCTGTGCAACTTCAGGACAAAGCCAGAAAGAGGACATCTCTGCTGGTCACTCTGAGCAGGTCAAACCAAAAAATAAAATCAGATGTCATGATTCTGTTCCTCTAAATTGGGATCATTGCCACTGATGACATTGGATATGATCTGATTTGTGGTAGACTTGATGTGTTCAAAGTTTATAAATATACCTACCAACACATCTGTTACTAACTGATCAGTAAACCGTTGAGGAGACATTACAGGTTCAATTTATGGACAAAAAACTTTGTGTCCTTCCACCCATAACCTCTGCGCAGTGTCTCCTGCTCTAGTGATGGTTGCCAGAAACCTTGTTGTCACAGTGACAGGACCATGCCCACTGCCTCCAGATGTTGCTCTCGAGAAACTGTTCCAGCGTGCATCTCTAAGTAAAACTGACTTGCTAAACACTGATAAAAACCAGCACAAGCATCAGTGAGCCATGGGTGCCCATGACCTTGCTTTCTCCAAGGTAAGACTTCAACAAACAGCTGTGAGCAACAGACAATGTCAGGTCCCATTAATGATACACCCTGACTACGTTCATTACTTGTGAGTCTCATTAATAAACAGTTACACATAAGACTCGGTGTGGACCCTCGCAGGGCCAGCTCCCTCCAGGTGGTCGACACAGATGGTTGCCTGGAACCCAAAATGTCAGGGAACCGGCTTGCAGCAGAGAAAGTTTTGTTGTTCAGTTTTACAATCATGTAACAATAAGTACAGTAAACATATTATAAGCCATGAACTATCAGCCACAGTTTATCCATAATATAAAACACTTGTCCATAAACATCACAAGGCCACAGCTGAAGTGCTTGTGCTCCTGACTTTGTAACTCTGGACAATTCCCATCCACAAAACACAGTGTGTGCTGTTTCCACTGGCACTAGTCTAAATAGTAACCATTTCTACTGTTAGAAGAATACCACAGTGTATGGTTCCCAGCTTTCCTGGACGAGGGCTCTCCTACTTCACAAATCCCAATTTAACCCTTAACCCACAGCATTTCACGACAGCAGGTCTCATCTTGTATCTAAGTATACTGTAGGCCAAGCAGAAACAGAGTGCTGTGACTCAATCCCAACAAAATGTAATGGTGTGTCTCTGTTCTACCTGTCTACTCCTTGTAAAGCATGGCTGCCATATTGCATTGGCTGCACACATAAGCCACCTGGTGATTGCGGACATGCATGTACTCTGGTCGTACTGACATCACTGAAACCCCTTTTCGATAGGGACATGTAGCAGCTCATCAATCCGTTAAAGTGTCAGCTTCAAGCCCCTTTCAGACATAGGTCACTATACTGTTAATGTACACAGCTGCATTCACACACAGCACCCACACTGCTAGAGAGCGCTGAGCTACGCACGCAATACTTGTCATTTACACAAGAACAGTGAATACACCAAGTGATGCATAATGCAAAATAATGCAACAACAGACTAGAACTAAACTAAAAGCTGCTGGATAAAGTGTTTAAATAACTAACAGTCCGGTTTACTTCTGAGTTCTTAAACAGTAAAACTGAAAGTGGTGGAAATGAAAACAAAGAATCCAATAATCACGAACATATTTACTGTCATTAGACTAAACACTGCACACATTCTTCACAGGGATTATTAAAGTCTAATGAACTAAATGCTGTCAAATGTAACAGCGTGTCACACAAAGTTATGCTAGTCATGTAGAAATATGTGGTACCTACCCCAAGGACTTTGGTGGCATTATAGATGTTGTCCACATACATGTTGTAGTGATGCAGATGTGAACAGAACTGGTCGAGGCCTTTGCCAAAGTATCCATTCTCCAAGTGTACCAGCAGAGATCTGCAAAAAAGAAAAAAGAAAAAAAAATTGGTAGATTTGACTATATTTAAATCAGAAATAAAAAAATAAATAAACAATTTGCAATTTTAAATTCTCAAGAATTGAGTAATTATGAACTTATATGGTAAGAGTTGTCTTAAGAAGCTGTATATCAGCTGGCAGCTTCTGTTCGTTTACATCAGTTCTGTAAGTTGGCCAAATAACAACAGATAAACTTTTAGGTGTTGTCTGTTTTCATTTGCTTTCGACACGCCTCTATTCTCGCTCAGTCCAACACGGGTTTCATCAAAAACATACATCACTGAGGAAATACACCACATTTTATTTTTGCTGTTCAAAACACATACAGTCGTGAAGCTTGCTCTCAGTATATTATCAATAGCCTAAGTGTTATCACAGGTTATTGTGGACATTAGTTTAGGCAATTCAAATTCAGAACCGTCAGCAGCAGTACAGCAGGTCATTCATCAGATACTCATATCAAACACTGCCAGATGTAGGTTAGGTTAGATTTATTTCACCATAAATGATATGACACAACATGAAACTATGGATCTGTTCATGTAATTTACAAGAAACATCTTGGTGTACTGTTAAACAGATTCAGGACGCGATACTGAGTTTATATTACTTCCTAGGAAGACCGAACAGCAAGTTTGCTAATCTGGTTCAACCACAGTCCTGAAGGTTATTTTTCCTAAAATAATAATAAAGAAACGCAATCCCAATATTGTTCAAAAACATAGAAATGTTACGTTTTTCCTTGAATAGTTATATTATAAACCCTAAGTAAAATACACCATGCATGTGAAGAACATGCTGTGTCTGCCAATATAACTCACTGGCTCACTAACACGCATTGTTTGGGTCCATAAACAAGCTCATTAGGTATGAACAAAAAGTTACAACAACATTCTTGATTCCAACCCACGATGTGGCAGTAGGAACTATGTCAATATGTGTGCCAGATTTTTTTGTGCATCACAGAACCCCCTCCACACCCCCCAACCACTGTCAGCATTTAGCCTCCAGTCAAACCACATTGGACTTTGAGTTAGTGCACATTACTGCCTGGGAATGCACTGCTGCAAAGAAAAAGGTCGAATAAGGCGAGATCACGTTTGAGGCATTCTCAGCAAATGCACATATATTTAGAGTGTGGGGGTTGAGCAAAGTTCAAAGGATTGCTTTCCGTTAATGGGTGATTTAGCAGGCAGGGCTCTGTAGTGTGATTTGAAGGCCTCTCCCTGTGGGTGACGTATTTACTGAGACACAGTGAGTCTACCTTCAGGGTACCCAGGGCCACTTTGTAGTGAGAACACACCCGCTGAACTCGGGAACAAAACAACTGGATCAAGGCAGAGGCAAAGCAGTCGTTGAGCTTGTCAGGCACATTACAGTAACAACGCAATTGGTTGGGTGTTGACACCAGCGAAGGCACTTGTTACACACACACACA